GTTCCCAGTCCAAACCAGTCTGTTCCCAGTCCAAACCAGTCCGTTCCCAGTCCAAACCAGTCCGTTCCCAGTCCAAACCAGTCCGTTCCCAGTCCAAACCAGTTTGGTTGCAGGTTCGGGGCTGGTACCGGTCGCTGCTGTGCCCGCGCTGGCGCCCGTACTCGGAGTTCACCAGTCACACCAGTCACACCAGTAACACCAGTAACACCAGTATGGGCCGCGCCCGGGGCTCCCAGTTACCCCAGTCACACCAGTGACACCAGGTGAGACATCCCAGTAACACCAGTAACAGCTCCCAGTCACACCAGTCACACCAGTAACAGCTCCCAGTCACACCAGTGACACCAGGTGAGACATCCCAGTAACACCTCCCAGTCACACCAGTCACACCAGTAACACCTCCCAGTCACACCAGTGACACCAGTAACAGCTCCCAGTCACACCAGTAACACCAGTAACACCTCCCAGTCACACCAGTAACCCCTCCCAGTTACCCCAGTAACCCCAGTAACCCCTCCCAGTTACCCCAGTAACCCCAGTAACCCCTCCCAGTCACACCAGTATCCCCTCCCTTCCTCCTGCAGGTGCCGAAAATTCCAGGAAAAACCAAAAATTTGGGGAAATTCGATGGAATTTTGGGAAATTCGATGGAATTTGGGGGAAATTCGATGGAATTTGGGGGAAATTCGATGGAATTTTGGGAAATTCGATGGAATTTTGGGGAAATTCGATGGAATTTTGGGAAATTCGATGGAATTTGGGGGAAATTCGATGGAATTTTGGGAAATTCGATGGAATTTTGGGGGAAATTCGATGGAATTTTGGGAAATTCGATGGAACTTTCGGAAATTCGATGGAATTTTGGGGAAATTTGGGATTTTTGCCGCCCCTCCCCCAGCTCAGGGAGCTCAGTAAAGAAAATGGAATTTGGATTTGGGGCGAATTCCTGGGATTTTGGGCTGAAATCCCTGAGATTCAGGGAATTCCAGGGATTTGGGGGATTCCGGGGCATTTTTGGGGTGGAATTCCCATTTTTGGGGTGGAATTCCAGGGATTTTGGGGTAAAATTCCGGGATTTTGGGGTTCTAGGAGGGATTTTTGGGGATGTTTTTGGGCTGAATTTGGGGAATTTTTAGAATTTTCTTCTTTTTTTTTTTTCCAAAACTTTTTGTTTTATTTCCAAAAATAAACTTTGAGCCGCGCCCCTCCCCCACCCAAACCCCCCCCCAGGGACCCCCAAAACCCCCCCAGGGACCCCCAAACCCCCCCAGGGACCCCAAAACCCCCCAGGGACCCCAAAACCCCCCCAGGGTTGGGTTTTTTTTTGTGGGAGGGGCATCTTGAAGATCCCAAATTTTTTTCGGGGGGGTCTCAAACGATCCCAGATTTTGGGGAGGGGTCCCAGAGGAACCTCTCCTCAAATTGGGGGGGGGTCTCCACTTGTGGGGGGGTCCCCAACCCTCCTGGACCCCCCAAAATTACCCCCATGGCCCGGATGAGCCTCGGCCAAACCCGAATTTTGGGGAGGGGGTCCTAAATGAGCCTCAAATTTTGGGGAGGGGTCGCAGCTGATCCGGAATTTGGGGCGGGGTCTCAGACGAGCCCCTCCTTAAGGTGGGGAGGGGTCAAAAAATGGAATCCTCAGGCCTTCAGGGGACCCCTCAGGACCCCCCAAAATGACCCCCATGGCCGAGATGAGCCTTGAATTTTGGGGAGGGGGTCCCAGATGAGCCTCAAATTTTGGGGAGGGGTCGCAGCTGATCCGGAATTTGGGGCGGGGTCTCAGACGAGCCCCTCCTTAAGGTGGGGAGGGGTCACAGAGGGGGGGTCTCAGACCTTCAGGGACCCCCCAAGACCCCCCCAAAATAACCCACATGGCCGGGATGAGCCTCGGCCAAACCCGAATTTTGGGGAGGGGGTCCTAAATGAGCCTCAAATTTTGGGGAGGGGTCGCAGCTGATCCGGAATTTGGGGCGGGGTCTCAGACGAGCCCCTCCTTAAGGTGGGGAGGGGTCACAGAGGGGGGGTCTCAGACCTTCAGGGACCCCCCAAGACCCCCCCAAAATGACCCCCCCATGGTCCCGACGAAGCCTCATCCGAGCCCCGAAGTTCGGGGAGGGGTCGCGGGCGGTGCGGAATTTGGGGAGGGGTCTCAGATGAGCCTCTCCTCGGGGGGCAGGCGCAGCGGGGGGGGGCCCGGGGGGGCTCCCCGGGCGCCCCCTCCCAGCTCCTCGCGGCTGGGTCTGTAGGAGCCCTCGGTGCGGCGCTTCTCGCGCAGCCTCAGCGCCGCCGCGATCAGCAGCCCCACCAGCCCGAAAGCCCCCAGACCCCCAAAAACCACCGAGAGCGCCACGACCCCCGCGGGCTGCGGGGGGAAAAAAAGGGGAGGGGGCGTCAGGGAATCCCAAAAACTCCGGGGGG